CCTCTATTCCACCAAATGGGGAAGTCTTGTGTTCCAGATCGTATGGCTGCAGAATGGTGACGCTTCCCTGTCCTTAACCGACCATGTTGTTACATGGAGGACAGTTCCCTGGAAAGTTGTCTTGATCCACAGGAGACTTTGCATGAATGAGAAATTGCATTATGTAATGGAATTTGAGTATTATTTGCTATTGCAGCATAACCTAGCCTATCCTCACAGACAGCAGGTTCAATCTCACTACTAATTTATAAAATAAAGATTAATGAGATAATAATTTATATTCACCAGATGGGTCAAAATCAAATGTTCTGATAATAATAAGTTTTGGCAAAGATATAGAGCAATGACAGCAGGAATGTAAATGGGTAAAATGACACTTGAAAAAGTGAGGCATTATCTAATATAGCAGAAGTCTGAAAGTCATGAGACACAGTAATCACCTCCTAGTTTCATCTAAAGAAACTTCTACCTCTGTGCGCCAGGATTCATGTACAAGATGAATCATAGATGCTTCATTTACAGTAACATAAAAGGAAGAAGGATGAAGGATTTCATAACCAGAATCAATTTTTTAAATGAATGTGTTATATTCATACAGTGGAACAGATCCAGCAATGGAAACAAAGAAGCAGCAAATTCAATCAACAACAAAAATTACTGAGCAGCTCCTATATGCAAGGCCCTATCTCCCACTAAGGATAAAAAAATGAGAAGAAAAAAAAAACACCTCCCATGAAGGTTAAATTCTAGTGGAAATGCTACAGGAAAAAAAAAAAAAAAGGTAATTGAGAGGTCAAAGGACTGGTGTGCAGTGGGTTAGCCTGCCACCTGGAATACCAGCATCCCATATGAGGAGCAGGTTCGGGTTTTGGCTGCTCTGCTTCAAATCCAGCTTCCTGTTAATATGCCTGGCAAAGCAGCAGAGGATGGCCAAGATGCTTGGGCCCCTGCCACCCACACTGGAGATCTAGATACAGGCATCTGGCTTCGGCCTGGCCCAGCTCTGGTCACTGCAGCCATTTGAGAGTGAACAAGCAGATGGAAAATCAATCTCAATCTCTCTCTCTGTCTCTCTCTGTCTCTGTCTCTCTCTCTCTCTCTCTCTCTAACTCTGTCTTTCAAATAAATAAATAAATCTTTTTTTAAAAAAAGAAGTGACACAAAATTTTCAAAAGTGAATACAGGGGCCAGTGTGTGGCATAGCTCATAAAGCTATAGCCTGTGATGTCAGCAACCCGGCTGCTCCACTTCTAATCCAGCTACCTGCTAATGGCCTGGGAAAAGCAGCAGAAGATGGGCCACTGCCACCCACGCAGGAGACCTGGATGAAACTCCTGGCTCCTGGTTTCAGCATGGCTCAGCCCCAGCAGTTGTGGCCATCTGGGGAGTGAACCAACAGGCAGCTGATCTCTTTCTCTCTGTGTCTCTCCCTCTCTCTCTGTAACTCTGACTTTCAAATTAATAAATATATCTTTTGTAAAAAGTGGATACATGCCATGAGAAAAAGAAAGGAAAGGGAAAGAATATTAAACATGATAACCAGGCCTCCTGGAAAAAGAGACAATTGAACAGATATTGAAGGGAAGCGCAGTAATTACAGCAAGCTGTGGATATCTGTAGGAAGAGCATTCCAAGCAAAGGAAGCTAAAGTGTAAAGATGGCTTCTGACACATTCGAGGAACAACAAGGAGCCCAGTGTGGCTGGAACTGAGTAAGCAAGAGGAAGAACAGTGGGACACAAGATCAGATGGCCAGAAGGAAGGGCAGAAAGGTCAGGTATGGCCTTGTAGGTTATCCTACAGGCTTTGGTCTTTACTGTGTAGAAAACTGGAAAGTCACTGGACAGTATGAAGCAGAAAAATGTCATAAACTGCCTTAACAGTGTAAAAGGCGAGCTCTGGTTGCTGCTTTGATAATAAATTGAGAGGAGCAAAGGATAAAAACAAGACCAGTCTGGAGATCCTTGCAATGATCCATGCATATGGGAAATAATGGCAACTTGTACCAGGTAGCAGCCGTGGGAGTGATATGAATTATATTCTGGATTTATTTTGAAGATATAGCAGAGATGATTTCCCAGCACATTATGTATGAGATATGAGACAGGGAAGATTGCAGATAGCAAAGGTTGGAGCAGGATGAAGATTCCATTTGCAGTATGTTGAAATGCAGATATCTACTGGATGTCCAAACAAATTCTGAGTAGGCAGCTGGAAACACAGGCCTGAGGTTCAGGAGAAGTCAAGGCTGGAGCTGTCATTTCTGGAATCATCAGTATCAGTACACAAACACGGAGATTGGATGAAGTCATCTGGGTAGAGAGAAAAGAGCTAGAGCGGAAGCCACTCCAAGTTTAAACCTGTGAGAGGAGAGGCCAGTGAAGGAGACAGAGTAGCCAGTGAAGAAGGAGGAAAATCAAGAATGCATGGTGTCAGTAAGGAACTGTTTCAAAGAGCAGAGTGGCAACTGTTACAATGCTACCAACAGGTGAAGAAGGGTGGACACTGACTGTAACTGTTGGATTAGTGAAGGCGATGTCACTGGGGACCTTCACAGCTGCAGACTAAGCAGTCCTGGCAGAGCATTGAAAACACAAGCTAGAAGGGAATGGCGTTCTATTGAAAAGTGTGAGGAGAGCACCTGGAGATGGGAATACAGACAATGCTTTCAAGAAGTTTTGCTTTAAGAGGAAGAGAAGAAATGACTCAATCTCACAAATATAAAGGTAAGCAAAGAAATCTATGAAACATCGTTTTCCAAGATAAAATAAGACCTGCGGTGAGGAGAAGGAACAAGCAAGACGTTTCTGGGTAATCACAATGTTCTCTTTCTCGGGTGGTGGGTGAGAAGTGGGGCATTTGCTTTATAACTATCAATTATAATGTGTTCTGCTTTTTGTTAGCTTGTAAATTAGTTTCATAACTTCTCCAACTATTATATACATATATAAATACATATATTAATTCAAAATGTTAAAAAAAAGTGAAAGAAGAATAGGACCATGTGTGTGAAAACACAACAGATAATGTCACTGTTGAGGCACAAAAAGAGTGTAAGGATATTCCAAGTCATAAGCAGATTAAATTTGAATACAAACTTCAAAAGTTTGTATGTGCTAAGGTTGTCCAGTCGGTGAATATTTGTGCCTTCCTAATTTAATTAAAATCGGAATTTGTAAATCACATAAAATCTTAAGAATGAGGGCAGACTATAAGCCTTTTTCTTCATTTTTAACTCCACAGGAGTGTGTGTGTTTGGCTGGAAGCATGAAGAATGCAGTACAGGATCTACCAGGAGGATTCAGTTCTTTTGTGAGTATTTTTAGGTTTTATTTTCCAGACCTCCCAGAAATACTGCATTTCACAAACGCAAACCATTTGGTCCTACAACAGTGATCTAAGTGTGAAAAGATGACTGTTTTTTCCTTGACAAATTCATGAGAAAGTAAGGCCTCACATTACAAAAGAGGAATAGAGCCTCTGCCAGCCACAATGTCACTCCAGAGCTTTGAGTGAGTTGGCCAAGGATGGGGAGCCGCCTGACCTATCCATGTCCCAGCTGTTTTCTGAGCGACTAGCAGCTAGGGCATTGTAGTTGGGCTACTCCCTGTTCAATCAACATGCGATTGCCTTAACTCTGAGTGTCTGTTTTAAGAAGATGACCACCTATTTCACAGAAATACATGAGTGATTCATGACATTTCCAACCCAAAGGTGAAAAGGCATCGAAAGTCAGTTCAATGTGTTCCTAAGAGCACTTCAAATCCACTTGGCTCTTCCAAATGGCATACAAAGTACACGTGGGTGGGAAGAGATTCGTTTATATTTTAGGTCAAATCCACCAAAAAGAGCCAGAAACACTTCCATGCCTATCCCAACTAGTTAGTGACTAAATCTCAAATGATTTGAAAATGCTATCGGTGAAAATGCTATTGGTACAAGCAGCGACAAAAGGCGGCTCTAACATTCTCTGCCTGCTTAAGTAAGCCAATGGTTTCTAATTAAAAAGAGAAAAGCATGCTGACACTTCATAGTCCACACTCCTGGTACAACTTTTGAGTGGGCGTCAATTCCTAATTTCTGGTTTACCTGAGTAGTTAACCTCTGCTATTTTCTGGGCTTCATTCCAAGAGGACTAAACACATTTCTAAAATTGGCATCTCTGCTAGTGAGCTTAATTTCAGAGAGGCTCGGAAGTGGTCTGAAACCACTTTTTTAACATTCTGCACACAACTTTATGCTAAAAAGCACCAAACACTGTTCACCAGCAGTAATTGCCAGGAAAGGTACAATTTTTCTTTCCCTCCAAAACAATTTTCATTTCCTCCAAATATGCAACACCGTAATAAAATAATGTGCTAGGCTAAATCCACTTGTTTCTGTTGTAATGTTACAAACACTGGCAAAATGATAAATATGATTCTTTAAATCATTTTCAAAGGAGACCTAAACATCCACATATAAACCACATATATTTCTGAGCTCTTTATAAATGCTTTTCTCTATAGCTTTTGGCTGGAAAATCCTGAAAGTATTAAGTTGATGCCAAGATCAACATAGGTCGCTGATTTTTTTTTTAATTTTTTTAGTTTCATGAAATTATGAAGCTAGTACTGTACCAGGTAAAAGAGTTCAAGAATTACAGACTTTTAAAATCTGAGATACACCTTGGATATTATCAAAAGCTCCTCAGAGATTATTTTAACCCAACCCTCCAATTTGAAAAATGAGGAAACTGAGGCCCACAGAGGTTAAGCTCCCCACAGCACCACAGTGGATAAATGGGAAATAGAACCAAAATTCAGATATTCTGATTCCAAGGCAAAGCTCGGAAGGAGGACCTGTTCCATTACACGGATGGAAACAAATGCTCACTGAGGCAGGCAATCCTCCAGATAAACAACCCTCTGGGGCTTAGGAGGGCCACTCTCATCTGGCTGTCAACACAGGTCCTAGAGCCAGACCCCGCAATAACCAGCTTCCTAGATGCTATCACCGTACCTGGAGTTTCCAAAGCGATTCCTCATTTGGGTCTCTTCTCTCACCGCTACAAATCCCTTTTAAGTAAGTGCTTCGGTTGCGACTGCAGTGGGAGGAGGGAGAGTTTGTATTTTGGGGTGTTTTTGCTTTCGGAATTGTTTGCGGGAAGGTGTAGAGGTTGGGACACGGAAGCTAGGGTCTACACCATCCATCTCTACCGTACAACTTTTGTCATTCGCCATTCAGAGCAACACATCCTCCTTCAGAGCCCCAGGACTTACTGGTTTACGTCGCAGTCCCTTCGACTTCCCAAGTAGGCAGGAGACCTGGAAAAGAAGTTGTCAGGGTGGCCAAGTCCTTCCCGCGGGCCCCGCAGGTGGGCGCGGCGCGGCGCGGCGCCCCTTCCCCTCGCCCCGCGGGCCGAGCGGCGCCCCGCGTCCACCCCACTCCGCCGCCCGCGGGGCCCGGCCCCTCCAACTCTGGTGGCCCTGCTAGAATGGTGGTGGTCCCCTCAAGGGGCCCGCGGGCTCCCCGCCAGCCGCACGGTCCCAGCGCCCTGAGCCAGAAGAGGTGGCGGCAGAAGGTGGAGGAGAGAGAAGCCGTTCTCACCTTGGTCCCGGGGTCGAACCCCGACGGAAAGCAGAGATGGCGCCGGCCCCGGGGCCCTAGCACCTGCGTCGCCGGCTCGTCCGCTCGCGCTCGGCCAGCCGTGGGCTGCGCAGCCGGGCCGCTCCAAACTCCTCGCCGAAGGTGCCGGGAAACTCTCCGGAGAGCGGAGGGCAGCAGGGCTGCGGGGAGGAGGGGCTGAGCAGCTGCGGCTGCGGCGGGGAGGAGGCGGGAAGCGCGGCACCGGCGCCCGCGCGCCACGCGCTCTCCGTGGTAGCACCGGGGCGGGGTCCGCGGACCCCGAGCGGCAGCGGGGCGGCGCGAGGCCAGGGACCAGGGGAGCAGTGGCCGGGAGCTGGCGAGCGGGACCCCTGCCCGCTGGAAGGCGGCGTCGGGAGTTGCGGGCAGCAAGCTCCAAGCCGCCCTCCCTGAGCGTGCCCGTCTGACTTGAGCTTGTCCGTGGGGTGTTCCCCTGTGCTTTGTACCCCGGGACTGACTGGCCTCTGCTGTGGCAAGTGTAGAAAATGCCACAGTAACGATGGAGTAATTGGCGGGGGTGGGGATAGGGGAGCGAAATGGAAAAGGATAGACGTGGTTAGGTAGTGAGTTTCCTGTCCCCAAGGACGCATCAGCCAGCATCAGGGTCGTGAGTGTCGGGAGGGCACTGGACTAAATGACCACTCCTCTTTCAGTCCTGAAGCTTAGTGATGTCTCATGACGCCAATAAAAAACAACAACAAAAATCTGTCCTTGACAGCCTTAATTTGTCCAATCCAGAGGTAAATAGCATGTTCTTGCTCACCACTCAAAATGCACACTCATTTATTTGTTTATCTCATACAGTTTTGCTGAGGACCACGTTGTACTGGACAGTATGCTAGGTGCAGTGATTGCATTCTTTGACCTTGGAGTTGGGGGTAGGAGGACAGACACATAAGCAGGAGCTCATGAAAGTACCAGATGAAAGTACCAGTTGTGCTGGGTGAGTTGGAAACCAAGAGGCCAAGGGAGAAACAATAAACGGAAGTGGTTATATTCCAGAGCTGGTGAGTGGTTATTTTTTCAAGGCCTCTGAACATTGATTTCACAGAGGAAAAAGGGGTGGGTGGGAGACAGCAGTGCAGAGAGAAAAATGAGTGGCCTACAGTCCCGGGGCATCAGAGGAGAGTTCCTCTTGGCTCACTGGTTTTCACTTTGCCTTATATACACAAACGGGGCACTTGGGGGAACTCTGCACGTAGAACTTCCTGGACTTGGGGATAAGCTCTCAGGACCGTTTTGTGTTTTGTTTTGTTTTTTTTTTAAAAGAATATTTGGGTCTCTGAACCACTTGTCAAAGCCACTTTATTCAGAAATGTCATACTTACTAAATAAACCTCTGGGGGTACCTAAGGTAGGCAAAAATAACCCAGAAACACTATCCTTTGGGTTTTCACCCAACCTCAAAAAACAGACAAGTATCTCTATGGGATGGAAATGAGAACTGCAGTAGACACACTAGGTTCCCCAGATTATTACAAAACTAAACAACACGAGAGCAATCCTTAAGTTATCAGTATAAACTAACATACTCATTTCCCGGGGGTGCTGTAACAAATTCCCATAAGCTTGCTTTTTAAGATAACAAAGATTTATTCTCACGTTCTACAGGCCAGAAGTCCAAAATCAAGATGTCCACAGTTTACTGTCCCTGCTTCGCCCAGAGGAAATCCTGCCTTGCTTCCTCCAGCCTTTGGTGGCTTCAGGGTTTCTGAGCCGGTGCCTCTGCCTTCATCCTCTTAGGGCCTTCTCCTCTGAGTATGTGCCTTCACTTCTGCTTGTTGTAAGGACATTTGTCGTTGGGTTTAGGACCTCCAGCCAATCCAGGATGATCACATCTCAAGATCCCTAATTTAATTAAATCTGCAAAGTCCCTCTTTCCAACTAAAGTCACACTCACAGGTTCCAGGGAAGGAAGGAAGTCAATATTTAACCCACCACAACTGATAAGCTAATAATAGGGACCAAAATCATTGTTCACTGTGGTATCAAGTTGTCCTTCCAACATCATTATTCAAAATTGTATCAACACAAAGTATTATTATTTCATTGTGAACCATGAAAGATGAGTATTCTGACCTAGGCATTATGAAGAATAACGGCCTAGTGTGAAAGAAATACAAAAGCCCCAGCCCTAAACTCATGTTAGAATCACAGACCAAGCATGGCCACACACAAGCTACCACTGTTACAGAAATACATCCTACATCCGTATGTGTGGTATTCTGATAACGTGATCCCATGCTGAGCGCCTGTTACACACCAGGCTCTGAGTCAGGAGCTCCTTATAGCTCCCGGTTTACATTCTAGGTTAGAGGCCACCTTCGAATCTCATTTCCTCTGACACAACGCTTTGTGCGTATCTGATGCCTGATAAACAGTTGTGAATGAATAAATGAATAAAAATAAATCACCACCAATCAGCCAGACAATTATTATCACATTGAAAAACATCTCTATAATAAGAACACAGAATTTACTAGAGCAAACCAGATTAACACTCTGACTCATTCAGTATTTTCTTGAATGATGGAAAAATCCCTAAAAGTAAACCTTTGATGTAAAAAAGAAATTAATGAGATCATCTATCCTCTCTTTTGAAAAAAAAAAAATCAATAAGATGCCTATTTACACAGAATCAGATCCTGCAGGGAGCAATCAATCATGACTGAACTTAGAAATACTTAAAAGTAGATGAAATATTTTATCCAAGTATTTTGGTTGCTAGTTTAAAAAGCATGAAGATTGCTCAACTATTAAGTTGATATTATTAATACATCCCTTCCTTAAACTCTTTACAAACAGTGGTTGAGTCCCCTCTCTTATAGTTTACCTCTGCTCTCTGACTTACTCTCTCCTTCTTATTCCTCCACCCTAACATTTTTACACAATCAGCCTGTATGATTACAGCTGCCAATCTGCATCTCATTCATTGAATTACCAGGGTGCCCACCCCTGAACCAACCATGTGACCAGTGAGCTGGAATATGACAACTGTCCCGGCGTAAGTCATTTGTCTACTCCTGGAGAATGGTATGGGGGGAAGGCTGGTCTCACCTCAACTGAAGAACTAAGGATGTGAGTAAAGTGCTACCCCAAAATAAGATTAGAGTGCTATTCCCAAAGGGAAAGCGGACCCCAAAAGCACATATACCCACTGCAGTGGACGTTTGGACTATAATGCTAATTAAAACAGTGCCTTATCCCTTTTATGGTGCCCTACACATTTTCTGGAATTTTTTCAAAATAAAATAATTGCAAGCCGGTGCCGTGGCTCAATAGGCTAATCCTCCACCTTGCGGCGCCGGCACACCGGGTTCTAGTCCCGGTTGGGGCGCCGGATTCTGTCCCGGTTGCCCCTCTTCCAGGCCAGCTCTCTGCTATGGCCAGGGAGTGCAGTGGAGGATGGCCCAGGTGCTTGGGCCCTGCACCCCATGGGAGACCAGGAAAAGCACCTGGATCCTGGCTCCTGCCATCGGATCAGCGCGGTGCGCCGGCTGCAGCGGCGGCCATTGGAGGGTGAACCAACGGCAAAGGAAGACCTTTCTCTCTCTGTCTCTCTCTCTCACTGTCCACTCTGCCTGTCAAAAAAAAAAAAAAAAAAATTGCTATTGTTTATATGCCTAATTATCACACACTTGAAACATTTATAAATGTATATAAACATGCATATAAAAGTACATAACACATTTATAAATGCATACAAAACATTTATACACATGCATATAAAAACAGTTACACACTCCATTTACAAAAAACATTTTATAAGTTGTTTTTCATGGATCAGAGGCAGGATAGTCAAGCATGTAGGTATGGATTCTGATCACCTAAGTTTTTATACTCCCTGTGAGCCCTTAAATAAATTCCTTATTCTCCTGAAGTCTCTGTTTCCTTTTTCTTTTCTTTTTCTAAAATGGAGTTGATAACCACCTCTCTGAATTGCCTTGAAAAATAACTATGTCTGTAGTTAAGATAACTGGTTGCCTGGTAGTCTACTGTCTTTGCTTATTATTTTCTCATCTAGTCTTCACAACCTACCTGGAAGTTTTTTGTGTTGCTATCTTGTAGCCTGAATGCGCAAGAGAAAATTACTGGGTTATATGTAAGGATGCTGCTTTTGTTGGTGAAAGAAGTATTATAGGGACACTGTGATCTTTCTGTGGCCTTTTTGATATGTCAACACGACTACAATCCCCAGTTACGCAATCCAGCACTAATCTAGGAGTTTCTGTAGAGGTATTTTTCAGATGTGATTAAAGTCCATAATCAGTCAACTATAAGTAATGAAGACTATCCCAGAAGAGAGAGTTGGTTTGGTTCAATCAGGCCTTTGCCGTTGGATGACTGCTCTTCAGGCTTTCCAGCCAGAAGAAATGCCTTTGAAAAGAGATAAGCCCCCCCTTAAAAAGAAGAAAGCTGTGGCTAGCAGCATCATCCTGCGAGTGAGAGCTTCAGCTTGCGTCTCCAGACAGACTGCCGTATGGACTTCGGATTTGCCCAGACATTTGATACAATTACACAAACCGATTCCTCACAATCAGCTCTTTCTTGATAACTATCTTTCTAGTTGAAACATGATAGGTTTTGGTAAACATAAGTGGAAAGCTGGTGTAACCAAGACCTAAAAATGTACAAATGCCTTTGGAATTTGATAGTGAGTAGGAAGTAGAATTTTTAGGAACAAGATGAAAACCAATCGTATCTGAAACAGACTTCTAATAGAAATATAGATATTAATAACTCTCCTTTCTCAGAAGGAGGTGAGAAGTGTGGTAGAGAGAATTGACATTACCTTGGAGAATACATAAATCATTGCAAACAGACTATTGGCAGAAATAGGACATTAAGTGACTGTTGGTAAGGACACAGGAGGGAATCAGAGAAATATGACTGGGAACCTGAGGAAAGGCAATATTTCCTCATTATAATGGTAGAAAGCTTAGCAGAATGGTGTCTTGTTATATAGAAAACACTTGTAAACAATGAGATTGACAGTATAGCCAAGGAGATTTCCAAGCAAGATATTGAAGGTGCATCCTGTTTTTTTTTCTTGTTGTTTATAATAAAATGTGAGAGGAAAGAGATAAATAAAAGAAAGAACTGTTAAAACAGAACCAGGACTTGATGATTTAGAAAGTTCTTAGCTTATCCAATATCTGAGTACATTTTTCTGTTGCTATGACAAAATTCTTTGGACTGAGCACTTTATAAACAAAAGAGATTTAGTGGGACTGACACTGTGGCGTAGCCGGTAAAGCTGCCACCTGCAGTGCCGGCATCCCTTATGGGCACCAGTTCAAGTCCCAGCTATGCCACTTCCAATCCAGCTCTCTGCTATGGCCTGGGAAAGCAATTCAAGACGGCCCAAGTTCTTGGGCCCCTCCACCTACGTGGGAGACCTGGAGGAAGCTCCTGGCTTTGGATCATAGCAGATCCAGCCGTTGTGGCCAATTGGAGAGTGACCCAGCGAATGGAAGACCTCTCTTTCTCTCTCTCTGCCTCTCCTTCTCTCTCTGTGTAACTCTTTCAGATAGATAGATAGATAGATAGATAGATAGATAGATAGATAGATAATTTAAAAAAAAAAAAGAAAAGAAAAGAAGTTTAG